TAGCCAGCCTGCTTGCGAAGATGCTCTTCCCTCTCTTCGTTAGGTGGAGCCCATCTCTGCCTAGCACTCCTCCTTCTTGGAACACCATCCCATGGTCAAAGAATCCAAAGCCTTCTCTCCGACACCACCTGCATAGCCATTCATTGGCTTCCACGATTCGACGGTCTCTACCCAGGCCTTTTCCTTCCACAGGGAGGATGGACGAGAAGACCACTTGCGCCTCAAACTCCTTTATCCTCCTTTCCAGAGCCACATAGTCTGCAGTGATCCGCTCAAGGTCATTCTTGGCAATATCACTGGTGCCCACGTGGAGAAGCAGGAAGGGGTAGTGATCCGAGGGCTTGATGAGTCTCGGCAGTCTCTCCGTCACATCGTGAATCCTAGCTCCTGGCAAGCAGCAGACTTCTCGGTTTTCCCGGTCAGGGCAGCAGATAGATGACTCAGTCCCCCTGAGGAGAGTGTCCCGAACCCCCACCACCCGCCTCCTTCTCTTGGGAGCGGTGGTCGTGGAACCCCCAACCCTAGAACAGTGCATCTCATGCCTTCCAATTGGCGGAGTCTCCTTCTGCTCCCTTCCCTCAGACGTATCATCTGGTCCACTCTCCGCATTAGTACCTGTGGAGAGAACATGAAAATGGTTGCTTACTTGTATCTGCGTTGCTGGTACATGGACGCTCCCCTTTCTTCTTCTGGAGGTCACATGATGCCAAATTTCTTCACCATTCTCCTGTCCCCGCTGCGCAGCCTGCTCTGAATCTTGTGCCCGTAGAAGCATATCCTGACATCCATCCAGGAAATCTTCAGTTTCTCTTATGCAACGCAGGGTCGATACCTGTTGCTCCAGACCTTGAACCTTCTCTTCCAATAATGGAGACCAGCTTGCACTTTGTACAGACAAAGTCGCTTCCGTCCTGTGGAAGAAAGACAAACATGGCACATCCAGTGCAGGTCACAAGAGCTGAACACTCCCCATCCATATTACCCTCCTTCTTCGAGCTTCCTCAGGAGATGCAGTAACTACTCAGAGAATCCGGCAAGATGTAAGCCTCAGTGGGCTCTCCCCAGGCGAACTCCCAGGCAAACTCCTGCTGTTAGCTGCTCTGCTGTTAGCTGCTGATTGGCTTTTTATACAGTCAGGCCCACTTAAGGCTCACCTGGAACAAAGCACTCCCAATTCCCATCCTTTTCAAACAACCAATCAAGCACATGGTCAAACTGTCCTCACAACAAACACTCAGATACTCACAACAAACAAACACTCAGATACTCACCAACACAGCCTCCTTAATGCAGCCCTTAGCGTACCTCCTCTCAGGCAGATCCCAGGCAAACTCCCTCTGTTAGCCTCTCTGCTGTTCGCTGCTCACAGAGTGAACAGCTCTTTCATCTAGTGGAGAAAGGCAGAACAAGAACCAATGACAGGAAGGTATAGCCAGGCAAATTCAACTTAGAACTAAAGCACAAATTTAACAGTGAGGGTGACTAACCACTGGAACAAACTACCAATGGAAGTGACTGATTCTCCACCTCAATGTCTTCAAATCCAGACTGGATTCCTTCAGGAGGATGGTGTAGCCAAACCCAAACTACTGGGCTCATTTCCCAGGGGATGCCTTACTGCTAAATGGTGAACTAGCACTCAGCTGAGCCCTCGAGGGTTAACACAGTGTTAATGTAGCCTCACACTCTACTGAGGCAGCACACATGGAGGGAGGGGAGACAGCATGGCAGAGAGACAGAGACACACACCCTGTGTGTGGGGGAGAGAGAGGGATGGGCATTGCCCCTTTAAGTACATTGCCTTTTTAAGTAGATCAGCAAGTTGAGACAACAGCTGCTGCCCACAAACTCCCTCCATCCTGAGCCCTGTCGTGTGTCCCCCCACCTTCCTGCTCTATGGAAGATGGGGTAAGCGGGGTGCAGGAGCGGGGGAAGGGGGACACCCTGACATTACACACACACCCCCGCAAGCAGGAGGCTCCCAGGAGCAGCTCCAAGGCAGAGGGCAGGAGCAGCACAGGGCAGTGGGAAGAGGGACAGCTGAACTGCCAGCAATGGATAACCTGCAGGGGGGCTGCCACACAGGGAACTTAGGGGAGCTGAGAGTGGGGCTGCCGGCCCACCCTGGTTCCAAGCCCCCACCAGGGAGCTCAAAGGGGCTGCTCTTCCTGCAAGCAGTGGACAAAGCAGGCAGCTGCCAAATGACGTTATAAGGGAGCACTGCACAACTTTACACAAGCATGTTCCCTAATTGATCAGCAAGGTAACAATGGAACAACGTTAACTGGGATGATTTTAAGTGAGGAGTTCCTGTATTATTTAATTTCTGTTGCCGTAGTGTCTAGGAGCCTTGGTCATGGCCCGGGACCCCACGTGCTAGGTGCTGTACAAACACAGCACAAAAAGTCAGTCCCTGCCTCCAGTAACTTCCAATCTGAGATTTCAAGCTCTCATACCTCCAGTCCTCTGCCGTTAGAACCCCTGTCTGGCAGGGACCCGCCAGGAGGATTTGGGAGTGGCGGGGGGTGCAGTGTGGTGCAGTGCAGCAGCGAGGGGATATCATTAGAGTGTCTAGATTTGCTTTTTATGAGAACATATGTCACCTGGAGAACTCAGACGCTGCCTTGGTATCACCACGGTTCAGACACAGGCCATCCTCTCCCCCCAGCCAGTCCAGTTTTCAGTATTTGTGTAACTTCACACACAGATTGAAATGAACCTTTAAAAATGATTCAAGTGTGGAGGCTGAGCCCAAATCCTTCCCTGGGGAGCCCTCTGCCCCGCCCCGTCCCGCACAGGGCAGAGGGACTTTGTCAACATCACAGCTAGGCACTGAGCCCCAGATTGTCCACGATGTCTCGGTGCCTAATTCCCAATGGGACTTGGGTAACTAAATAACTTTGAGGATCTGGCTATTAACCCCAGACTGTGATTCTCTTCCCAAAGCAGGCTGTGCAGGCCCCAACCTGGGAACTGTGTCTAAGCTGGAGTGAAGGGATCCCAAGGGAGAGAGAGGAATCCCAGATGCCCCGGGCATGGGCAATTGACGCTGAACTCCCCCCGAGCCATTCAGGGTCAATAACCCTCCTAAAGCAGAGACTACGGGGGGAGAGGATGAAATAGATGGAAACACACCCTGGGAGCCTTCTCCGGTGGGACCCTAGCCCCGAGAGCCACAGCCTGAGGCTGGGCTGGGGGGCCTCCTGGCTGCCCCTACTGGAGGCTGTAGAGGCTGGGGTCTGTGTCACAGCTGAGGAATTGTGAGGCTCCACCCCTTGCTGCAGAAGAGCGCTTGGCGACTAAGCTCTTGTATCGCAGCTCAGGGCCAGGCTCTCAGCTTGGGTAAATCAACACAGCTCCAAGGGCTGCGGACATCATGTGAAGAAGTCCATCAGCCAGGCGTAACTGCCTCAGTGCTGTCTGTCTGAGGCTGCAGGTCGCCTGAGACAGTAGCCCTGAGAGGGGCACCCAGCCGCATTCATCCCAATGGGGAGTTGACTTTGAAACTTGAGGAGGGCCATTGCATGCCAACAGTGGCAGCTGCTTGTGGCTCATCGTTTTTAACAAGAACATCCATCGAACGTGCTTCTCCTACAGTCCCAACCTGCCTCCTGCTTTTCCCAACCTCCCATTGCTCCCACTTCCACCCTAGCCCAGCAGCGCCGTCCGGTGGGGTTAGCACACAATCCCCCAGGACAGTGACAACGGGGAAGGCTGGGGTAGCAGAAAATACGCTGCCTTTAACATCAGGTAGCCCCCAAGGCCGGACGGCACCATTGCGATCCTCACGTCTGACTTCAGAGACCTGCCCCACGATGCTTCCGAGAGCAGAGCCGTTAGAAACACCTCCAGTCTCGACGTAAAACCGGTCCGGGCTGGAGAACGCCCCCCCGGCAGGGCTGGGTACGGGCGTGGTGACACCGCCCAAGCCCTGGGCCCGGCCACGGGCTGCCCGTCCCGTCGGGGGGGGGAGGGGAATGCGGGGGCCCCGGGAGCTGGGCCCGGCCACGGGCTGCCCGTCCCGTCCGGGGGGGGGGGACGTGGGGGCCCCGGGAGCTGGGCCCGGCCGCGGGCTGCCCGTCCCGTCGGGGGGGGGAGGGGAATGCGGGGGCGCCAGGAGCTGGGCCGGCCACGGGCTGCCCGTCCCGTCGGGGGGGAGGGGAATGCGGGGGCCCCGGGAGCTGGGCCCGGCCACGGGCTGCCCGTCCCGTCGGGGGGGATGCGGGGGCCCCGGGAGCTGGGCCCGGCCACGGGCTGCCCGTCCCGTCGGGGGGGGGGGGCCGGGAGCTGGGCCGGCCGCGGGCTGCCCGTCCCGTCGGGGGGGGGGGGGGACGCGGGGGCCCCGGGAGCTGGGCCCGGCCGCGGGCTGCCCGTCCCGTCGGGGGGGGGGGAATGCGGGGGCCCCGGGAGCTGGGCCCGGCCGCGGGCTGCCCGTCCCGTCGGGGGGGGGGGAATGCGGGGGCCCCGGGAGCTGGGGGCGGCCGCGGGCTGCCCGTCCCGTCGGGGGGGGGGACGCGGGGGCCCCGGGAGCTGGGCCCGGCCGCGGGCTGCCCGTCCCGTCGGGGGGGGGAATGCGGGGGCCCCGGGAGCTGGGGGCGGCCGGGGCTGCCCGTCCCGTCGGGGGGGCCGGGGCCCGGGAGCTGGGGGGCCGCGGGCTGCCCGTCCCGTCGGGGGGGGGGACGCGGGGGCCCCGGGAGCTGGGCCCGGCCGCGGGCTGCCCGTCCCGTCGGGGGGGGGGCCGCGGGGGCCCCGGGAGCTGGGGGCGGGAGGCGCCGGGCACGTGGCGCTGGCTCTGCCCGCAGCAGCCCGGGCAGCTGCCTGAACGGCCATAGAGCGCGGGCTCCGCCAGGGAGCAGAGCGGCCCCGAGCCATAGAGCGGAGCGGCGCTGTGCGGGCTAGAGGGGCTGCGGATTAACCATAGAGCGCGGGCTCCGCCAGGGAGCAGAGCGGCCCCGAGCCATAGAGCGGAGCGGCGCTGTGCGGGCTAGAGTGGCTGCGGATTAACCATAGAGCGCGGGCTCCGCCAGGGAGCAGAGCGGCCCCGAGCCATAGAGCGGCGCTGGGCGGGCTAGAGGGGCCGCCTCGGACCCCAGAGCTGAGCCGCCCCGGGGGGCTGAGGGGCCCGCGCCCGCCGCTGGCCGCCTGGGATCCGAGGTTGGTTGGCGGTCGGGGCCCCGCTGCGTCTCGCGGGCATCGCAGAGAGCGCGGGCCGAGTCCGACCCGCGGCAGCGCGAGACCGTGCGCGAGACCCGGGGGCGAGCAGAGCCCCGGGGCGTTGCCATGGGGACGGGGGGGGCGCTCCGGTGAGGGGGCGCCCGGGGCGTTGCCATGGGGACGGGAAGCGCGCTCAGGTGAGGGGGCGTTGCCATGGGGACGGGAGGCGCGCTCAGGTGAGGGGGCGTTGCCATGGGGACGGGAGGCGCGCTCCGGTGAGGGGGCGCCCGGGGCGTTGCCATGGGGACGGGAGGCGCGCTCAGGTGAGGGGGCGCCTGGGGCGTTGCCATGGGGACGGGAGGCGCGCTCAGGTGAGGGGGGGCCTGGGGCGTTGCCATGGGGACCGGAGGCGCGCTCCGGTGAGGGGGCGTTGCCATGGGGACGGGAGGCGCGCTCCGGTGAGGGGGCGTTGCCATGGGGACCGGAGGCGCGCTCCGGTGAGGGGGCGTTGCCATGGGGACGGGGCGCAGGCAGGGACAGGGCTCCAGCTGATCACTCGGAGTCGCCCTGGCTCTCCTTGCAAGGCGCTGTCGTGGAGCCATCCCGGCCGTACCCCATGTGCAGCGCCTCCCTGGCCCAGTTCTGTATCCCCCCAGGGCCCCACCACGGGGTCATCTTGGAGATTCTGCCCACGCCAGCCCAGCTCCAGGGGCACCAAGGGCGACAACTGCAGGGGTTGAGCCCCCGCCCTGCTCCACGGGGTGCCGTGAGATTAGCCACTACAGGCACCCTAGACATGTGCGGTGAAACCCCACAACGAGGCGGGTGGTAGAGCCAGCATGCAGCGGAAGTGTCACCGCACTGATCAGCCATGTGGCTGCAGAGGCCTGGCCCAGTGCATACCCTGCAAAGTGGGGATTGCCCAGAGCAGATACTAGGTCAGAGGAAAGAACTGTATTTTGCTTGGAGCTGAAGTTCAGAGTAATTCTGATTAAATTGGAATGCAGCGTGTTATGTCCAGGTGAAGTCAGTGTGGTCACTGCAGATGGCAAACAGCAATTCGGGGAATGCACCTGACACTTCTTAGAATCATAGAATATCAGGGTTGGAAGGGACCCCAGAAGGTCATCTAGTCCAACCCCCTGCTCAAAGCAGGACCAATCCCCAACTAAATCATCCCAGCCAGGGCTTTGTCAAGCCTGACCTTAAAAACCTCTAAGGAAGGAGATTCCACCACCTCCCTAGGTAACGCATTCCAGTGTTTCACCACCCTCCTAGTGAAAAAGTTTTTCCTAATATCCAACCTAAACCTCCCCCACTGCAACTTGAGACTATTACTCCTTGTCCTGTCCTCTTCTACCACTGAGAATAGTCTAGAACCATCCTCTCTGGAACCACCTCTCAGGTAGTTGAAAGCAGCTATCAAATCCCCCCTCATTCTTCTCTTCCGCAGACTAAACAATCCCAGTTCCCTCAGCCTCTCCTCATAAGTCATGTGTTCCAGACCCCTAATCATTTTTGTTGCTCTTCGCTGGACTCTTTCCAATTTATCCACATCCTGCTTGTAGTGTGGGGCCCAAAACTGGACACAGTACTCCAGATGAGGCCTCACCAATGTCGAATAGAGGGGGACGATCACGTCCCTCGATCTGCTTGCTATGCCCCTACTTATACAATAGACTCATAGACTTTAAGGCCAGAGGGGACTATCATGATCATCTGCTCTGACCTGAACATTGCAGGCCGCAGAACCTCGCCCACCCACTCTTGTAATAGACCCCTAACCTCTGGCTGAGTTACTGATGTCCTCACATCATGATTTAAAGACTTCAAGTTACAGAGAATCCACCATTTATACTAGTTTATACCTGCAAGTGTCCTGGGCCCCATGCTGCAGAGGAAGGTGAAAACCCCCCAGGGTCTTTGCCAGTCTAACCTAGGGGAAAATTCCTTCCTGACACCAAATACTCAGAGCATGTGGGCAAGACCCGCCAGCCAGACACGTGGGAGAGAATTCTCAGTAGTAACTCAGCCCTTGCCAGCTAGTGTCCCGTCACTGGCTGTTGGAGATATTTGCTGCTAGCAGTTGCAGATCGGCTCCATGCCATTGTAGGCAGTCTCGTCATATTGTCCCCTCCATAAACTGACCAAGTTCAGTCTTGAAGGCAGTTCCATTTTTTGCTCTCACTGCTCCCCTTGGGAGTCTGCTCCAGAACTTCACTCCTCTGATGGTCAGAAACCTTCGCCTGATTTCAAGCCTAAACTTACTGATGCCCAGTTAGAATCCATTTATTCTTATGTCCACAATGGCGCTTAACTTAAATAACTCCTCTTCCTCCCTGGTCTTTCTGTATCATTGGTGAAATATTCTGTACTTTTAACTCCATTGTGTTACTGGTTCAAGTAGCATTGTTGTGGGTATGTGTAACTGGCCAAGAGGGTGCTCTGCAGCAGGGTGTGAGCATCCCTATAACACTTCAGTACAGATCAGGGCCTCCCTGGGATATGGGGTGTCTGATTCCAAGCACCTCACGCCTGCTTTGGAGAGTTTGCCACCAGTGGGAGGCAACACAAAGCAGCTTGTAACATCTTTACATAGGGGGAAATGTTGTTGGACTAGTAGAGGGTGTCTTGTTGGAGGAAGATGGAAAATCCCCTTCACACAAAACCCATCGCTGTTTGTGCTAGGAGAATGCAGGAGTCTTTCAAAACCCTGTCCGAGTGCCACAGAACCCACTGGAGCCAGTAAGGCAGAAACCATGCAATTAGGTCCCTTAGTCCTTGCCACCATTCTCACCTGATTGACATTCCCGCACCAATGGGGCTGGCTTAAGGCACTCCAGGGCCCTCAGCCCATCTCATCCTGGGAGCCCCTCATATACAAGAAGGCCTGGTCCAAGCCCGTCAGCAGGAGCCTGCTCAGCCCTGGAGGTGGTGGTGAGGCCCACAGTTCCCTCCCCAACACGCATCAGCGACTCCTCCCCCTTCTGGAGGCTGTCTGCAGGCTCAGGCAGACATTTGGACCAGTTACACTCTTCATGTTTTCAAGTTTTTCTTCACAGCAGTGAGGGCTAGGAACACAATTTAAAAAACCAGCCAAACACACAAACAACTAGTCATGATTCTGATGCCAGCGTGTGACTCCAGGAACCAGACCCTGAGGCAAGGGCCTGTACTGCCTATGCCTTAATCCAGCCCTGCTCGCAGAGTGTAGGTGTGCAACACAACCCAGGCCTCCTCCTGCCCCCTTCCCACGCAGTTTGTACCAGGAAGGCACAGGCTGTGGAGATTCTCGGAGCGGGGGAGCCAGCAGCCTTGCAGCGCTCACACACTCTGTGGGGTGCGGAAGAGGCAGGCAGCTGAGACCCTTCAGGGGCAGGCGAGAGCCAGGTCTGCTGGATCCAAGCTTCCGAAGGGAACAACTCAAAGCAAGCCTGCCCAACCCCAGTCCTTGATCCCCAGGAACCCATTCCCCTGCTACACCAGCCACTCTCCCCTGTGCCCCAGGAGCAGACTGCAGTGATTAGCTCCCCATCCTTGGAGCCCGTTGTGTGCTGAAGGGGGGCCAGTTCGTGGCTGTTTGTCTCTGGCGTAAGGGATCATTGGGAACGTTTGGTTCGTTTACAGGATGTTCAGCGAGGCCAAAAGCTGCTCTGGACCCACAGGCAGCCCCAGCCTGCCGTGCCAGGGAGTCTCCTAGCTGCTGCTCAGGGAGCTGGGGTGCTCTGCTTTCTGCTGTTCCCACGCTGCACTGTAACGCCCAGCTGCAGCCATGCGACGGAGGGGCCGCTTCAATGCACGCAAGAAACGCGCAGCACGGCGCCACTACTACGACCTGCCCAAGGAGACCGCGAGAGCAGCCAAGGCTATCGCAGGTACGGCCTGGTCCCTTGCTCGGAGCCAGGCACGGGGCGGGACACAGGAAAGGCACTTGCTTGCTGCTTCGGAAAGGGTGACACCCCCCAGTGCAGAGCAATCAGTGGTGCGTCATCCTGCTGGGCACGCTTGTCCCTTGTGGGCTTCATTGGGAGTTGAGGTACTTGGCACCTCAGAGGGCCAGGCTTGGGCAGGCTGTGCCCAGTTAGCGGCAATGCTTCAGAGAACATGGGAGCCTCATGCTCTGCGTGATTTCTGCTGGGTATGACGTGCCATGACCCACCTCTGTTTGTGCATGTGCAGGCACTCCTCCAGCACCAGGGTGTCCCGGGGCTGGGTGTGAAGCCACTGGAGCTGTGCAGGGTGTGTCCCAGAGCTCCCAGTGCAGGCATGGAAAATGCTGTTAAGCTGGAGCTCAGCTTGAGAGCGCGCATCGGTAATCCAGGGTGAAATCCACCCCAGCATGATGCCGTTTTCCCCACACCAGGTACTACAAACCCATGCCTGAAATCCAAGCATGCTAATGTAGGGACACCCAGAGAGCCTTAACTCTGTCCCGGAGTGGAGCCATGCAGTAATCATGGGCTATGATTAACATGATCCACTTTGTGCTCTGGACTAGATGAAACTGACCTGGGTGAGACCTCGTGGCCAGAGCACTGGCCTGGGACTTGGGAGATGTAGCATCTGTTCCCAGCTCTGCCTTGGGCAAGTCATCTCCCTCTGCCTTCGTTTCCGCAATCTAGGAAAGGCGCTTTGAGCTCTGGGTTGGAAAGTGTCAATAAAAGCTAGAAGAAAAGGAGTACTTGTGGCACCTTAGAGACTAACCAATTTATTTGAGCATGAGCTTTCGTGAGCTACAGCTCACTTCATCAGATGTAGCTCACGAAAGCTCATGCTCAAATAAATTGGTTAGTCTCTAAGGTGCCACAAGTACTCCTTTTCTTTTTGCGAATACAGACTAACATGGCTGTTCCTCTGAAATAAAAGCTAGGTAGGATCAGGAGTTTTTTCTCCTGGGGTCTCTCCATGCACGCACACACGTACCTACAGTTATTCCTGCACACGGGGGCCAGGATCCGTGGGACTCGTGTGACTCAGACCCAGCAGTTGGGGAGCTGGCATCTCAGGAGCTCATTCCTGACTCTGTCCCTACAGCAGCTGCAGAGCAGCCCGCCAAAGAGGAGCCGTTGGAGGAGGCGTACGCCACGTGCTGGCTGCCTCTGCCCAGGGAGGCGAAGGTGGAGCAGGGCTGTGAGTGCACGAGGTGTGAGGAGAGCTTCCACCAGCGGGCCGAGCTGCTGGCCCCCAAGACGACCGACGAGCAGAAAGTGCTGCTGATTTGCACGGAGTGCGGCTGGAGCTTCTCCTGCCCCAACAGCTTCATGCTGCACCGGTGCCTGCACAGCCGGGAGACGCTGCAGAAGCCCTACGCCTGCCCGCACTGTGGCCGCACCTTCAGCTACAAGACCAGCCTGGGGGTGCACCTGCGTGCCCACACGGGCGAGCGCCCCTTCATGTGCCCCTCCTGCAGGAAGAGCTTCAAGAGCAAGACCTACCTGGCGGTGCACCGGCGCGTTCACGCCCGCGTGCGGCCCTACGCGTGTGCCCAGTGCAGCAAGCGCTTCCTGCAGAAGCA